GCCCCGGCTCCCGCGGGCCGGGGAGGCAGTGCAACTTCGCTGTGATCCAATTCCAGGGAGAGTTTCGTTATTATAACGTCATGTAAGAAATGGGCCAGAAAGGGCTTACCGAGCTGTCAGACAAAAAGAACGCTGACATTTTGAGGCACAAGACGCGCAAAAAGGCACCACAACACACCAGTAAAAACCCAACAACTTGATTGTAACGTGCAGCGTGTTGCGATGCGCGCAAATCGGAGGGTTTCTGGGCCAGCTCCCGATGCGTTTACAGGGTCAAGGGGAAACGGGGCTAGAATTAGCAACGGGAGACGAGCGCTTTCTCGGAAAGCAGAGCGGCAGATGCGGGCTTCGGGACTTTTCCTTCCGATGGGGCGGCAACTCCTCTGTGCTCTCCTTTCCGTTCACTGCCGATCAGCACACGTGAACTGGGGGACAATTCAGGACCCGTGAAGCCTTGGCGGACGGCTCGGGACGAGCGATCACTTGGGGAGCGTCGCCTCTAGGCCGGACACACTAGGCACTTTCCCGTCAGGGTTCCCTTCCGTCCTGCCGACACGGTGGAAGCCAACGCTGCGGGTCCTGGCTTCCCAGCTCTCGTTCGCTTCCATTTCTCCCAATAGCCAGAGCATAAACTTTGAACTGTGCTTCCTGTTTGGGCAAAGTATACGCGGTTCGATTTCCAAAGGCTATTCTGACTACGGGCAGGTGTTTTGTTTTGTTTCGAAATGGCTGAAATGAGGACTATAATAAGATCGTCATTTGAATGCCTGCAGGGTTTAATCCTTGCCGGTTTGTTCAAGTTTACTAAATTTACAGCCACGGGAATTCTGAGATTGGGGAGAAGCCGAGTGGGTAAAGGCAGACTATAAATTAAAAGCGTCTGACTATTATGAATAGAAACACAACACGTATATGCCTAATGATGAATTTATGAAGTGGAACATTTAAAGTTTTTTCAGTGCTCATTCTTTCTCTGGCATTTTTTTTCCCCCTGCACATTACACTTTAAGGAAAGTACACTTTCAAAAATTGGATTATCCATCCACATGTTTACCTGTGTTCATTACGGAAATTAGAGCCGTCACTTCCAACTGTCTCATACGCACAAAATTATATGTCAGGATAATTTAAGTGTCAGTGTGCAGAGGACAAGTCACTCCTGCTGGAGAGAAGTTTTAAAAGGAAACAGGGGACTGAGAACAGAAAAGGGAGTAGAATGAATGAAAAGGGAAGAAACAGAGGTCTGTGCAGTGATGCTTCTAGAGAGAAAAGATGAAGGCTACTAAGCCCAGCCTTAAATCTCCATTCCTTCAGCTATTGTGAGGCAAGCACTTGGAATCTGTTTTAAAAGGACAGCAGGCTGTTGGCCCGAAGTTATCATGGGCAGACCAAATAAAATATAACTCAGGATGCACAGGAAGGATACAAAAAAAATACCTGTTTCACATAAAGGTTTTCCAAAGGTGTTTCCATGTCTCCGATCCAAATTTTGGAGCTCTGAGACCGCAGTGGCAAAAAAAACCCCAGGAGTCACATAGCTGAAGTTACTAAAAATTATAAAGTCAGAAAGGCACAGGGTGTCTGAAAGCACCAAAGCAAACAAACAAACAAAGTCTGCTTTTAATAAGTACACATGTAGCCATTTCTAAAAACATGGTCAGTGTGCACCAAAGTGTTAGCGGCGATCATCTCTGAAGGGGTAGATTACGAGGGACTTTCACTTTCTATATTACATTTTTCTATGATAGTTGAATCTTTTAGAGCACATGCAGTATAATAAGAAATGTGTATTAAATATTTAGCATGTGGTTTGGGGGGGTGAGGATTGCTATCTACACCAAAGAAAAAGCAACATCTCAGGAAACAGAGCAAGATAAGAGCCTCAAAGGGTCTAGCAAACAAGTGATGGTAAATAAAAATTCACAGTACAGTAGCCATTCTTACTAATTGGAGTCCTATAAATGTCATTGATATGGTCTTTATTTAGAGTTTGTCTGTTTTTGCTTGTTTTGGTGAGTGTAAAATATTTATAAGACTCTCCCGTAGGCTCACTACTAATTAATGGACTCTCTCCTTTTGTTTTCCTGTAAAGTCTTAAATTCCTCAGGGTTTTTTAGGAACCAAACTTTTATAGTTGTAGAAGGAACACTGAAAACTTCAATTCTAGATCTTACAATCTTTGTCTTCATATGTTTGCTGTTAAACTTATACTTTAAAAAGGTGCAGTCATGGGGAGCCTGGGTGGCACAGTCGGTTAAGCGTCCGACTTCAGCCGGGTCACGATCTCGCGGTCCGTGAGTTCGAGCCCCGCGTCGGGCTCTGGGCTGGTGGCTCGGAGCCTGGAGCCTGTTTCCGATTCTGTGTCTCCCTCTCTCTGCCCCTCCCCCGTTCATGCTCTGTCTCTCTCTGTCCCAAAAATAAATAAAAAACGTTGAAAAAAAAATTAAAAAAAAAAAAAGGTGCAGTCATAGGCTGGCATTTTGTGTCCTTTTTCAGTAAAAAAAAAAAAAAAAAAGGTTTTTGAAAGAACTTCAGGGGCACATGGCTGGCTCAGTGGGTCACGCATGCAACTCTTAATCTAGGGGTTGTGAGTGGAGCCCCATGTTGGGTGTAGAGATTACTTTAAAAATTAAAAATAAATTAAGAATTTCAATTCCTGAAAATTAGTACATATTTAGTCCATAGTGTGTTTTTAGCTTTGAAAATTCTAATTGCCTTACACGAGTTATTTCAGTAATGCCTACCATGTACCTAGTAGACAGAAAAATTAAGGAAGAAACCGAGAAGTAATTAAACAGAACACTCACCGTCAAAAATAATTTGTGCAGAAGAGTATGAGGCATGAGTGTATGTTCTGCAGCACACTCCATATAGATATCAATCTTGCCCTCTAGGGGTCTATATTTTAAGCCTGTCAGTACTTAACAAGATAAACACCAAAAGGGTAGGCAGGCAACTGAAAAATAAACATGGGAAAACATACAAACAGGAAGATTAAATATTTACATCCATTGTGTACAAGACCATATTTTTAATAGAAATGCATCTGGGGATTTGGGGGGAGGGCAGAGGTGGAGGAGGTAGCAGACAGCTATGTCTATTTAGGATACAAAAGCATTCTGCCAGCAAGTGTTATAAACTCCTAGAGACCCTACCCCAGCCCCTACACACGCACCCCCCCCCCGCCCCCCCCCCACACACACACACTCTTAGGTTCCTCTCCTTTACTGATAATACAAGACTACACGAGTAGTTTGCATTAATTTCCTAACGTTGCCACAACAAATGCTGAAAATGACAGAAATTTATTTTCTCACAGCCCTGGTAGCTCGAAGACCAAAGTCAAGGTGTTGGCGGGGCTGGCTCCTTGCGGTAGGCTTTAGGGAAGAATTTGATCGTTCCCTGCCTCTCAGCTTCCAGTGGTTGTCCATGATCCTTGGGGACCTTGGCTGTAGGTACATGACTACAATGGCCATCTTTTCTGCATCTCTGTGCCCTCACATAGTGTTCTCTGTGTATGTGTCTCTTCTTGTAAGGATACCAGTCATGTTGGAGTAAGAGTCCAGCCTACAACAGTATGACCTCCCTTTAATTGACCGCATCTGCAACAATCTTATTCCAGATAAGGTCACATTCTGAGGTTTGGGGATGGATATGAATGTTGGGGGGACGATATTTAACCCAACTGAACTACCAAGCAGCCTATATTGGTGTCTCCCCGTTTAGCAGATTCATGTATATATGGTTAGAAAAGTTTATATAGGGGCACCTGGGTGGCTCAGTCCGATAAGCATCCAACTTTGGCCCAGGTCATGATCTCTGAGTTCATGAGTTGGAGTCCGGCCTCAGGCTGTCGGCTGTTAGCGTGGAGTCCACTTTGGATCCTCTGTCTCCCTTTGTCTGCCTCTCCCCTGTTCGTCCTATCTCTGTCTCTCCTCTCTCTCTCTCTCTCTCTCTCTCTCTCTCTCTCTCTCTCTCTCTCAAAAATAAACATTAAGGGGCGCCTGGGTGGCGCAGTCGGTTGAGCGTCCGACTTCAGCCAGGTCACGATCTCGCGGTCCGTGAGTTCGAGCCTCGAGTCGGGCTCTGGGCTGACGGCTCAGAGCCTGGAGCCTGTTTCCGATTCTGTGTCTCCCTCTCTCTCTGCCCCTCCCCCGTTCATGCTCTGTCTCTCTCTGTCCCAAAAATAAATAAATGTTGAAAAAAAAATAAAAAAATAAACATTAAGAACAAAGAAACATTAAAAAAAAGAAACAAAAAGAAAAAAATAAACATTAAAAAAACATTAATAGGTTAACTGCATGCAAACGTTTCTTGGCACAAAACATTCACGTTTATTTTACATCAAATCAATCTATTTGTAGGATAAATAAAATCAAAGTGAATTTAACAATAACAGTGCCTACAAAGTAAACAGTAAAATTATGACTTAGTAGTTCCTTGGTTAGTTTGATCAGTGTAAACATAGGCCAAAAAATGTCAGCCCAACATGTACCATTTGGGGCCTGTTTTAAAGGCCAAAGACTATGGTGGCACCTGGGAGTCTCAGTCGGTTAGGCGTCGAACTCTTGCACTGACAGCTAGGGGCCTGCTTGGGATTCTCTCTCTCTCCCTCTCTCTCTCTGCCCCTCCCCCCCTCAAAATAAACATTTTTGAGAAGTAAAATAAATCAAGATCGAAGACAATGATGAGATCCTCACTTTCTAGTGGAAATGGAACTCAAGAGTCCCACCCATCACCCTTCAGGATGAAGTCTAAATTTCTCGGTGTGGCCCCCTAAGCCTGCCACCCTCCAGCCATCCCCTCCCCCCCACTCCTCCCCCTTCCTCCTTACTGGGTGCTCCAGCCTTCAGAGCCACCTTTGTCAGACGTCTTTAGATTGTCCCAAGCCCCTTCCTCTGTCATGTGGCCAATTCCTGCTTCTTTAGACTTCACTTCCATCCCTGACGACCACCCTCCCCCTGACAATGACTGTGTGTCCCCATGGATGTTTCTAGAACACCTGTGCTTCCCCCCTCCCCCCCCCCCCCCCCCTCCCCCCCCCCCCCCCCACCCCACCCCACCCCCCCACAAGGATCTCTGGAATGTATCCCACCCTGGCTGTTTTGTAACCCACCCTACGCCAGGTGCGGATGGCTACAATTGTCTGCCTTATACATCTTTTATCTCTATGATTTCGCAGCAGCTCAATAAACAGTTGTGGAATAAGTGAAATAAATGGGAAAATATATGTTAAGTGTCAGAAAAAGAGCTAAGATGATCCTTTACAAGCGTGTTTATTCCCCACCCCCACACACACCAGGAGGGTTTACTTTTCAAAAAGAAACTGTATCTTTATAAACAATGTAAATATGCCTACCTTGCTACAGTTTATGCTGATGGTTACATTTTACATTTCTATAAAGAAACAGGCGGTCATCTTGGCCCCTCTTTGCCCCTCTGTCCAACATTTGTTAGTGTCATTCTTCTCAGTGTTCTTGGCTTTCTGAAGCCTGGGCATGGAGGTTCACACCTGTTTCTAAAAGAGCCTCCAAAATCAAAAGAGGTCAAAATAGTTGTCCACAGTCTTCAGAAAACATATCTGCTTAGAAACATTTCTACCAGTGAAGATAATGTTGAGGGAGAAATGATCACAGAATAACCTATATAATATGTGCCATACAATCCATTTACGGAAAACTGTATAAATCCACAACAATCTATATATAAATCTATGTGCAAAGTAACAATGTTCATCAAAATGCAAACAATGGGGGTGCCTGGGTGGCTCAGACGGTCGAGCATCCAACTCTTGATCTTGGCTTAGGTCATGATCCCAGGGTGGTGGGATCGAGCTCCCAAGCGGGCTCTGCGTGGAGCCTACTTAAGATTCTCTCTCTCCCTCTGCCCCTCTCCTCAGCTCACGCTCTCTCAATAAACTAAACTAAACTAAACTAAAATAACATAAAATAATAAAATAAAAGCAATCTCTGGGCTGGAATTGACACTTTCTTTGTATTTTTTCTTTTTAACTTTTATAATGAATAGCTATTATTTTTACAAAACCAAGCAAGTTGTTTTTCAAAGAAAAAGGTTTTTTTCTCCAAAATTATCTCTATCTTAGCCTTAATTACATTTCACTTTCGCTGATATTTTTTTTTCCTTTTCTTTCTTGCTATCATCTTGTCTGTGGAAACATATTAAAACAGTGCCTACCAGGGGCGCCTGGGTGGCGCAGTCGGTTAAGCGTCCGACTTCAGCCAGGTCACGATCTCGCGGTCCGTGAGTTCGAGCCCCGCGTCAGGCTCTGGGCTGATGGCTCGGAGCCTGGAGCCTGTTTCCGATTCTGTGTCTCCCTCTCTCTCTGCCCCTCCCCCGTTCATGCTCTGTCTCTCTCTGTCCCAAAAATAAAATAAACGTTGAAAAAAAAAATTAAAAAAAAAAAAACAAAAAACAAAAAAAACAGTGCCTACCATACAATCATGACTCCTGACTGGTATAATCAGGTTCAGAGTTCTATTTTTCCTCCCCTTGGGGGGAGTTGCTATTAAATAAACTTAAAAGGGGTTTTCCCAGTGAAAGTGAATGGAATGATTCTCTTTCCCCTAATCTTAATAATCTTCATCGTCATCACTTCCAGCTGCTGCTCCGCCTAATGCCTATGGAAGTTGTGTTCCTTTGGTGCAAATCTCTTCCCCTCCCTGGGTGTCCATGATCCTGTCCCTTAGAGTTCACATTCCATGGAACACACTGGGTGCTCACTAAACATTTATTTTTTAATGTTTATTTATTTTGAGAGAGAGACAGAGACAGAAAGCGGGATGGGCAGAGAGAGAGAGAGAGAGAGAGAGAGAGAGAGAGAATTCCAAGCAGACTCCCTGCTCAGCACACAGCCGGATGTGGGGATCTCACAACCCTGGGATCCTGACCTGAGCCAATATCAAGAGTCGGACGCTCAACCGACTGAGCCACCCAGGTGCCCCTCGATAAATATTTACTAAACCGAAAAGGGTGCAAGCATTACCCCAGCAGGCTCCATTTGAGGAAAGGAGGGAGTGAGGGAGCAAGGGAAAGAGAGGAGGAACTGCAATTCTAAGGGCTGAGGGTCGGGGTGGGGGGGGGGCGCCTTACATTCGCCCCCTGCAATATTCTACCTTCCTCGCCTCTGGGAGGCTGGTCACGTTCACTCGGCTGCAAACATTCCCCCAGTTTGCCTGTAGGTTGTCAGCGTCTTTGCCTCCCTTGTGTTGACCCGCCTTTGCCAGCTCGGTGACATCACACACCTGCCACCTGAAAGACAGACCGTAGACACCACCGTTAGGAACCTGCCGGACGGCACAGAGGGATAAGGTGGCCGCAGAGGCAGAGGCGGACGGTAAAACCGAGCTAGTGTTACACGGTCCCGCACAAGGAAGCGAAGCGAAGCGAAACACTGTTTCCCTCTCGAAGCCTGCAACAAACCTCACAGGAGCCCCAGCTCCGTCTGGAATTGGAAGTGGGTGGGGATTTTCACCTGCTCTCCCCTCCGCCGCCTCCAAAGTTCCAACGAAGCCCTGGGCCCTGGCGCATCCGGGAGTCCCTCCTCTGCCGGGTGGGTGACCCGGTCTGACTCCCGCCTGCCCCCGGGGCCTCCCAAACTCGAGGCATCCTTCTGTGACCTCATTCTCTGCCCCGGGTGCCCCGTGCCACTCTGTGACTCCATCAGGGTTAACACCCGCTTCGGCTGCCACGCGTCAGACGTGGGGAGCCGCCTCGCAGATCAAGCTGGGGGAGTGGTTGAGGGCTGAGCTCTGCGCCGACCGTCGCCGCACCTGACCGTGGCGCGCCTGCTTCCCCGCGCACCGGCGGACGGGCCTCCGGCTCCTTTCCCCCCCCACCCCCCACCCCCACCCCACCCCCTCGAGAGGTGTCCGAGACCGGCTTCCCGGACGCCCCCGCAGCCGCGCCTGGAGCGTCCCCGCGGCCCGGCTCGGCGGCCGATGGCCAGCAGGACCGCAGCAGGGGCCCGGCTGCAGGAGCGGCCGGGGCCGAGGCGGCGCGCCGGGAGCCCGCGGGCGCAGGGGAGGCACCTGCTCCGCAGCTTGCCGGCGGCGCAGACCCTGGCCAGGGTCATCCGGCCTTGCTACGGCCCCCACGGCCGGCAGAAGCTCCTGGTCACCGCCAGAGGAACCACCGTGCTGACGGGCTACGCCGCGGCCATCCTGCGCGCGCTGGAGCTGGAGCACCCCGCGGCGCGGCTCCTGCGCGAGGCGGCCCACACGCAGGCGGAGAGCAGCGGCGACGGCGCGGCCTTCGTGGTCCTGCTGGCGGAAGCGCTGCTCCTGCAGGCCGAGCACCTGCTGCGCGCCGGCCTGCCCCGCTCCCGGCTGCGCGAGGCCTACGCCGCGGCCACCGCGGAGACCCTGGCCCTGCTGCCCTCCCTGGCCGTCCGCTCCCTGGGGCCTCTGGAGGATCCGTTTGGGGCCCTCTACTCGGTGGTGAACACCCACGCCGTGTCCCGGGCCGACTGCTTGACCAAGCCGGTGGCCCACGCGTGCTGGGCCACCAAGGAGCCGGACGGCGGCTTCCGACGCGAGCGCGTGGGCGTGTGCACCCTGCGAGGGGGGAGGCTGGAGGACTCGTGCCTGCTCCGGGGGCTGGCCTTGTGCGCCGAGCCCTGCGGGCAGGTGACCGCGGTGCCCGGCGGCGCCAGAGTGGCTCTCTTCGTTTGCGGCGTTGGTCCCGCCAGTCCAAATGCACCGGCCACGGCCCGGCTCTCCGGCCCCGCTGACCTGGCCACGTTCAGGAAAGGAAGTGAGCGGTTGATAGAAAAGCAGGTGGCCCAGCTGGCCAGCGCGTGCATTAACGTGGCGGTGGCATGGGGGGACATCGATGAGAATGCCCTGACGCAGGCTGACAAGCACAACATCATGGTGATTCGAGCCAGGTCCCGGAGGGATATGGTTTACTTGAGTGAGGTGCTGGGCACACCTTTGATGTGTCTCCTGCTTCCTCCCCGGAAGCCAGGGAAGTGCCGGAGGGTCTACCAGCAGGAGCTGGGGGAAGGTTTGGCCGTGGTGTTTGAGTGGGAATGTCCCGGCACCCCTGCCGTTACCTTGGTCCTCAGGGGGGCCACAGCCCAGGGGCTGCAGGGCGCGGAGCAGGCCGCCTACCGTGGCATCGATGCCTACTTCCAGCTGTGCCAGGATCCCAGGCTGCTTCCGGGAGCTGGGGCCACGGAGATGGCTCTGGCGAAAATGCTCTCAGAAAAAGGAAGCAAACTGGAAGGGCCTAATGGTCCTGCCTTCCTGGCATTTGCACAGGCCCTTCGGTCTCTTCCTGAAACCTTGGCAGAGAACGCAGGCTTAGCCGTCTCCCAAGTGATGGCAGAAATGAACAGAGCTCACCAGGCTGGCAACTTCCTAGTAGGAGTGGGGGTCGAAGGGATAATAAACGTGGCCCAGGAAGAGGTGTGGGACACCCTGACAGCCAAAGCCCGAGGACTCCGGGCCGTAGCTGATGTGACACTGCAGCTCGTGAGTGTAGACAAAATTGTAGTGGCCAAGCAAAGCGCCACGTATCAACGGGACTCGAATCCTGTCCCCAAGAAGGCCAAGGGATGCCTATTTCCTGTAAAAGATCAGCTCCTTGGAACGACTGAGTAGTAACATCCTCAATAAAATGGGGATTGCCAAGGAAGGCACAGTCACCCCCGAAATGGATGTTTGCCGTGTTTTATTCCCTCCGTGTTTTGTACTGTTAGAGTCCGTTTCTTCAGACAAAAACAACATAAAGGACCATAAGATAAAAGTCCTTTTCATTGATTTATGTCCTTTCAGACTCTTGGCTTTTTTCATTTCCTGTTTCTCTCCATCATATTCTGTTCCTTTCCTCCAATAAGAGCAGGATTTACTTGTATTAAAAATTTTTTTCAATGGAGTACCTTGGCTTTGGGGATGCAAAAAAAAAAAAAAAAGTGCAGGAATCTCTTCCCAACTGTTGGAGTTATCCCCCCACAATATCCTCATATATGTCAATTTCTGTCTAGATGTCACGTTAGCCATCTAGACCGCAGTTCGAGCTCACAGGAGCGGCTGCGCATTCCCGTTGTGATTATTTGGGAAGAGAAGGGGGTGTTCTGTTAAGGCCAAGGGGAGGAGGAGGAGGAGGGGGAGGGAAAATGAGCCGGCAGGCAGAAATAAAGTAAAATAAATTCTTGGCACAGATAACAAAGGAACACGTCCCTCAGAACTGCACTGAGGCTGTGAGGAGGGAAGACCTGGGGAACACCTGCCGGCAGCATGTTCCCAGGAGGGCTAGGACTAGGGTGGGATACCCCTGGGCGCTGAAGAGGGAGTTTGAGCAGAGCTGGGAGCAGAGCAGCACACGTCACCCAAAGCCTTTTCTACTTCAACCATCCAAGTTATTCTGCGTCTGGGAGAAAAGCAGAACCTAGGGACAAAGGGTAGGTCATGGGAAGCTGCAATCTCTTACCATCATGGGGGGGGGGGGGGGGCGGAGCTTGAAACATCTGGAAAAAGATCCAGACTCAAGAACTCAAGAAACAAATGTCTTCTACTGGGCATACTAGCCTCAACGAAGCAAAACAAATGTGCAAACTTTCCTTAAGACTTAGAAGAAGTGAAATCCTGAAAAGCTGTGAGCGCACGAAATGGAACACGGGCATGGACAGAACTATCCTCTTTATTTCTCATTTAAGATACACAAAACATCCTCGATGTGTCTTCCCTTGTTTTGTCTCCACCGCTATATTTTAGTGAATGTAACTAAGTGCTTTCATATTTCTCCCCGGCCCTTGTCAACTTCCATGTTGTTCTCACAGCCTCAAATCCCGTAACAGGGACAATGATAGA